TTGGCACGAGTGGTCAAGGAGGCTGGACATCCCGAATGGAAGGTTCAGGCAGCTCTCAATTACAAGTGCCCGACCTGTGAGTCTTTGAAACCAGGAGGTGTCTCGTCGGGTCAAGTTCCTCCAGCCAGCACGACACCGTTCTACCAGGCCTGGGAAGCAATATCAGCAGATGCTGGTGAATGGGTGGTACCGGGGAGTAAGATGAAGGTGAAGTTCATTTTGTTTATGGACCTTGCGACCAAACTCCGTGTGGTCTATCCTGTCAAGATCTACGAAGTGTTGGCTATGCAAGCAGAGTCCGCTGAGGACGTCATCATGGGACTGTCGGAGAGATGGCTTTCTTCGTTTCCAAAGCCAAAGCTGTTGGTGATGGATGCTGCAAAGACCTTTTCTTCAGAAAGGATGCATGCATTCTTGTCGTCAGTGAATATCATTCCACACTTCGTGGCTGAAAAGGAGCCGTGGGCTCATGCACAGAGGCCAATGTGCAGGATGTCAAGCACACCGCCTCTGCCATACACAAGGAGGCCTTGGACCAACATCCCTTCATCTCCCTCTACCTCGTTGTGTCTGCCTTGAATTCCACTGAGGTCACCGCTGGATACTCTGCATATCAGTGGGCTTATGGCCAACAGTTTCAAATCACAGATGAGGATGCTCGGACCTTTGCGGTGATCCCTAAGGATCCATCCTACGACTATGCTCGCCTTCTTGCAGCTCGCGAGGAAGCAGAGATTATTGCCAAAAAGACCAAGGCCCGACGTGTCTTATCCAAATTGGCCAACACGACTGTTCGTCAACCTCTACGAGAATTTGAACCCATGACTTTGGTCAAAGTGTGGCGCAAGCTGTGGCCAGTTGATGTTCATAAGGGCCCACGGGGAGGCCTGAAGAAATCTGGTCGGCCACATTGGGTCGGCCCGGGACGAGTTGTTTTTCACGAAGTGCTACCTCAACAAGCTCCTGGCGATCACCGTCGTCATGTGGTGTGGGTGCTCATTGGGACACAAGTGTTCCGCTGCTCCGTGCATTCGGTGAGGCCTGTGACGGAGACTGAGCGCTTCATGTACGAGACTAGTGGTCAAGAGGACTTCAGCAAATGGAAAACCCTAGCTGATGTCCTACCTCGACGTGAATACACCGACATCACGGAGGAGGAGCCCAACGAGGATGAGGTAGAAATGCCTAATCTGCCACCTCAGCCAGACGCCACAACTACCGTCAATCCTTCTCGGAGAGTGACTGGCAAGGCCACGCCAATGGATGAGCCTTCTTCTTCGACCTCGGCACCGGCAATGACGAGACCTTTGGAAGATGTCAACGACTATGACAATGAGCCGGCAACCAAGAAGGCCAGGGGTGACGACCTGGACTGGGTTGAGCAACTCACCCTAGAGGCTGAACAGGAGGGCAAGTGCATGGACATTTTCGCCGCAATGGACGATACCGAGGAGTTTCTCAAGATCGAGTTTGACGTTGGCGACTTGAGCAACCGACAACGGAAACACCTTGAAAGAGACCCGGTGAGTTTCATGGTCAAGAAGATGCGTGACAGTGAGGTCACCATATCGCGTCTAAAGCCGGAAGAACGACCTCTTTTTGGCCGTGCCAAAGCCAAGGAGGTGGACAGCTTCATGCGCAATGAGGCTGTGCGCAAATGCCTGCATCAGGATGAAGTTCGGGAGGCCTACTCCTCGGGCCGCATAGTTAAGGCCCGTTGGGTGTTGACCTGGAAGCCTGTACCCCCTGAAGACCGTGAAGCTGCTCTTCGTGATCAACAAACCAACCCTGAAACCCTCCACACCAAGGATGGCTCTCGCAAGGCGAAAGCTCGAATCGTTTTGTTGGGCTTTCAGCATCCCAGTCTTCTGGACCCCTCCTTCAAGACCTCCTCGCCGGTGCAGTCGACTCTTGGGCGAAACTTGCTTTATGCCATGTCTGTTCAACATCAATGGCCTCTGGAAGGACTTGACCTTGCAACTGCCTTCCTTCAGACTCTTCCTACCGAGGCGGATAAGAACTTGTGGACAACTGGTGTTGAGGAACTTCGAGATGCACTAGGTGTTGGTCAGGAAGGGATCATGCGGATCCTTCGCAACATCTACGGGAGCACGACGGCACCACGCGGCTTGTGGTTGGATCTACATCGCAAGCTCACCAGCTTAGGTGCTCAAGCTGTTCGTGGAGAACGATGTCTCTGGGTGTGGCTCTCTCGAACACGGAAGGACCGTGATCATCCCCTTTCGATTGGAGCCATGGGGGGACATGTTGATGACTTTCATCGATTGGGCGATGGATCGTCTGAGTGGTTGGAGATCAAGAAGAAGATCGACAGTGTCTATCAATGGGGGACGGCCAAGACCGGTTCTTATAGACATGCCGGGACAGATGTGACCACATCTGTGGATGAGCGCGGCTACCAGCAAATCACGGTGGATCAGAACTGCTATGTGGAGTCGCTTCAGGACGTGCAGATATCCCCCGACCGGCTGTCAGTGGACCTGCCCCTCACGAAGCAGGAGATGGAGGCATGTCGTACTTCACTTGGAGCTCTTCAATGGCTAGCCGTTCAGAGCCAGCCTCAGTTGTGCTCTCGATGCAACCTGCTCCTCACCGACCTCATCACTGAGGGAAAGACGTCCGTCGCCAAGGAGATCCAGCAGATGATTGGCGAGGTGCGTGCCGAGCCCTTCGTTTTAAAGTTCACGAAGCTGGATGGCGTTCAACACTGGACGGACCTCATCGTGATCTCCATGGGAGATCAAGCTCATGGAAATAGGCCTCAGGGAGGAAGCACCGGAGGCATGGTCACGCTCCTGTCAGGACCAAGCTCTCTCAGCGGCCAGGTCTGCGTCATGACTCTCATATCCTGGCGCACATGGAAACTCAAACGTCGTGCAATAGGGTCGAACGATGCAGAAGTGCAATCGATTCTGGAAGCAGAAGATGCGAATTTCAGAACGCGGCTTCTGTGGTCGGAACTTCATGGCGCTGGTGGCCTTGAGGCCGAACGTTCTCGCCGTCTTGACTTGGTTGAGGACACCGAGAAACAAGTTCTTCGTGTCCAAGGTGTTCTGTGCACGGACTCGAAGGGTGGCTTTGACGCCGTGGAGGTCAATGAATCTCCCCTGCTCGGCTTGAGCAACATGAGGGCTGCTCTTCAAGCATTCCAGTTGCGGGAGAACCTTCAACGTGCCGGGTGTCTCCTCCGATGGCTCGCTTCTGACTACGATCTTGCCGATGCTCTGACCAAGAAGAAGGCTGACAGTCGTACTGGCCTTGTACAGTTTTTGAGGACCGGATACTGGTCCATTAAGTATGATCCCAGCTTCACGTCCGCCAAACGGAACAAGCAGAGAGGACATACTGCTATCGATGTCATTTCTCGTCAGCTTCAAAGCCCTCCTGAGTACGTTGCTGATCTTTGTTTAGGGTTGGTGCAACATTCGTTTTCAGATGGTTGATGGTTGTCAGCAACGTTGCTCATTTCAGTTCAAGGAGGGCCCTTCTTGTAGCTTGATTCACATGGCCTTCGGGTGAGCTGTGCGCTCGTGGAAAAACTTCTAGCGCAGGGCGCGCTTTCAGAGTTGTGTGATCTGAGCCCAATATCTCCAACTGCTGCGTCAACTCGCTGCAGAAACCCAAAAAGATTCAGCACCTACGACCCTAAACCCCTTGTACCCTAAACCATGTTTCAAGAGGAATAAGCCAAAGCTTCATTTGAGCTGAGGCCTTGGCTCGCCGACGCGCTACAGCCTCGGTGGTCACCTTCTTGCTGAGACATCTAGAGGTGGTTTGGGGTTTAGGGTTTAGGATCTAGGGTTTAGGATTTAGAGTTTAAGGTTTAGGATTTAGAATTTAGGGTTTTGGATCTAGGGTTTAGGACTTAGGGTTTCGGGTTCAGGATTTAGTCAGGGTTTGGGGTTTGGGGTTTGGGGCAAATGGGAAATGGGTTCATTTGGGGTTTGCACGGATTATATCGTAGAAATTTGGGGGGGGGTCATGATTAGTCCCTGCCCTATTTGAGGTCCGTAGTATACGATTTAGGGTGGCAAAAATGCACCATGATTCGGGCAACCTACCATGTAGGAATCAGGTCTAAGGATTTAGGGTGCAGGGTTTGGGTCAGATTGAAAACTCGCAGTTCCGGTTTAGAACCCTAAACTCTAAACCTCAACAGTACAAGCCCTAACCCTAAACAGGATGCATTGAGGGTTTGGATTTAGGCTTTCAAGTTTTCGGGCCTAAGGTCTCTCCAAAAGTTTTAGACGTTACGTAAGGTCCTAACTGTGGGCTCTAACATGGTCCTTACCTGTTTCCTGGGTCCTAATTATGGGCCCTTAGTCAGGTTTTTTAGGTGTATAAAAGGTATATAAGGACCGTTGGATAAATTGCCCATACTAGGGGCCCAAAGTTCTGTCACGGTAGGTTGATTGGTTCCAAGTGTGTTTGCCGAGGTTTGAGACCCCAACATCCAAAACCATGTGGAGGGATTTCTTGTTTACCCTAGACCCTAAACCCTAATACATGGAACCTTTGGGTTCTAGATTGGTGAAGAGTTTGATGAAATCGCGAATTTCATCCCTGAGTTTGACACGTATCTACTGGATCCCCTCCCTTAGGGTTTAGGGTTTGGGGTTCAGGGACAAGGGTTTAGGGATTAGGGTTTAGGGTTTAGGGATTAGGGTTTATGGTTTAGGGATTAAGGTTTAGGGTTGGGAACTAGTTTAATAGAGAAGCAAATGGAGAAGATGATGGACAATGACACGGGTGCTGGGATTGGATAGAGGATTGCAGGCATTAGGTTTTCCGAATCTTGGGGCTGCCCTACAATAAGCATTGGAGTATTTGGGGGGTCTATTTTGGGGTTCCCCTATTTTGGCAAATTTGGCAAATTACGATGTATGTACTTAAAATCTATCAAAACCATTCCCTTCAAATGCCACCCCGCCCCACAAATACTAAATCCACTCAAAATCGTAGTGGTGTATTGGAGGTAATATTTATTGTTTAGGGGGTCGGGGGCCTTGTAGCCGGAGGAGGGGGTGTTACACATGTGAGTATCTTGGCCAGCTTTTCCGACAGTGGGTGGTATAGCTCCTGCATGACCCTAATCACCTTGTACCTCAGGCATGTTTAGCATGTCAGTGTAGTTCTCTCATGCAGGCCTCTTGTAAGCAAGGAATGAAGGACGGGATCCTTCTAGTACTCGGTATATGATCTGTATAAAGCAAGCTAGTTTCCAGTTTCTCTTCCATCCCTTCATTCAAACCCGTCCGTCATAACCCCCAGTTTCCATTTGATGTTTCTTGTTCTTTTCCATTTGAGTCTCCAGTATTAGGGTAATATATCCCTATATCCTCTTTAAAGGGACCTAGGGCTTCCATTTCATGTTCCATGTTCTTTTCCATTTGATTCTACATGATTGGACTCTAAACCCTAAACCCTGCATTGGACCTTCACTGCTGGCCAAGGTCAAAGCTGTAGGAGACATGCAGGCTGCCAAGCCACTGGTACCCTACGTCCGCCGACTTGTTCTCAGCATTCGCAATGCCTGCAAGTGATACAGAGATAGTAGTACTAGTGGTAACAGTGGTAGTAGTAAGAAGAGTAGTCCTAGCGAGAGTGAGAATAGTGATAAGCAAGTTGTTGCTGTTACGAAAGTGGCTTTGTGCTTCATATATGAGAGCGACTGGAATTGCTCGCGCTTGTGCAACTTGAGTTACGAGTACCATGCTTCATGAGGGAACTTCCCAAAAGAGATATCCTGCTTGTATACCTCGAAATGTTACAATCCGTGTAAGGGACTTCTAATCTCTGGAATCCCATTATCATCTCCCGATCTGAATGAACCGTGCGGTACTTGATCCAAATTCTTGTTAGCGAAATGGACATTATGGAGCACAAGTTCCCTTAGATTTTTCCGTGTACATCAAGAGGAGTCCTAGGAGCTTTAGATCAACTTTCATGTGAATTCTGGAGGCGCTGTGGTCAAGGCGGTTGGGGAGTTCCAAGAAGGACGCAGCGTAGCGTCCCGGCCACCAAGCTGCAAGCAGAAGATGCAACTGCGAGCGTGGCGGGGGGGGCATTCCGGAAGACTGCTCCCAATGCCCTGATGTAATTATGCGAACTCTAATCCTAAACCCTAAACCCTAAACCTTAACACTGCAATGTCAGAGATTACGCTGACTAAGATTATTTTCGCCGGTCCTTTCAGAGTGTGCCTCCCGCAGTGGACAAGGTCAAATTGCCCAGAGAGATGAGCCATAGCAGGAAGCTACACCAAACTGCAGAATACGTATGGTAGTTTCCAAAACAAAAATATGGGACCCCAATATAGACACCCAAATACTATAACCCCTATGATGGGGACCCCTAAAAAGGCATCCCTCATTTTAGGAAGCCACCCCATATATCAGCTTCGCGGCGCAAAAGCGACTGACAGACAGCCCGTCAAACTCCAATTCAATACACGAGCCTTCCTAAGATGGATGTCTAAACAATTACCGAAACTATGGCCCTAGATTCCTTGTATAGTTATAGTGACATGTACCTCAAAAGGATATAGATAGACCTCAAATTACATTGGTAACCATTTAGGCTCCCGCATTACACCGGCTAGGCATGGAGCTTTTGAGCCAGCCTCGTCCTCGATGTGTGTACACGCCTGGGCAAGCAAGCTGTCAGCAAATCCACCTGTGCACCGCAACCCAGCCACAGGGAGCGTCGTCCAAGCCCAGCTCGTGCAGACGGCCTTTGGCTCAGACGTTGCTTCTAGGCACTTTCTGGAGAATTTGGAGGAAGCGGCGGCAGCATGGCTATGGGCATCAGCTTGGGACAACAAGAAGAGCAAGCTTGGTTTCAAGTAGCTCCAACTGCGATGAGGATGCGCCGGGTGAAGGCCAGCTACGCGGGATCCTGCCCTCGAAGTGCGAGCGATGCAACAGAAAGCTGTGCCTATGTAGTGTCTTGCCTCCGAAGCCATTGGATACAATCACTCGGCTTGTGCTCTTCACCCACCCCAAGGAGAAGAGAAGAGCTTTGGGCTCAGGCCCACTGCTGCAGCTTTGCCTCATGAACATCATCGAAGTTGTTTGCAAGGAGTTCCCAGAACCGCTCGAGGATACCGCCCTGCATGAGAAGCTGACTGAAGACAATCGCCAGCCATTCCTGGTCTACCCAGGGCCCACTGCAACTCAGCTTACACCTGGAGTAAGAGATTCGCTTCCCACATCTTTGACCTTGATCTTCATTGATGCTCGCTGGGATCAAGCGCGCATCATGCTGAACCGCTCAGATTGGCTGCAAGAGCTGCCGCGAGTTAGCCTCCCCAGCTCCCTGCAAAGCCGCTACCGCTTCCGGAAGCAGCCAGAACCGGGCTGCCTCTCCACGTTTCTGGGATGGGTTTGAAGCTTTTCGTGATCTAGTCTAATCCATATGCCATCCCCATGCAAAACAGAGCTTTTCAAAGTCTTAGGCTGGAGGCTGCCGCCGAGGCACTTCACGTCTTAGAGCAGCAGCCCAGCCTGCGTGACAACCTGCTGGCGCCCTTCGAGGAGATGATCAGGCTTCAGAGCCAATTCCTTCCAAGCAGGGAAGATAAGAACCTCAGCCTGGGACCCCCTACGGAGGCGGCCAAGGAGAGCGCCCATCCACGGTGGAACCGAAGGCGCAGAAGGCAGCGAAGGAGAAGGAGTTCCAGAGTTGCTGTGGAGGCTTCAGGTAGTGCTCCGCTGGATGTGAAAAGAGTTCTGGGCAAGTTCTTCGGCCTTGCTTTATTACTACTATGAGCATTATACATGATTATGAGTAGTAGTAGTCTCAGTATTATTAGTACTATTATGGTATAAGTATGAGTACTAGTATTAGTACAACTGTCACTGCGATTATCATTGTTATCTGTAGCTAGCTCCAGGTTCAGCCCTCCCTTCTCTGCCTCATTCACGCAACTAGATGATTGCAAGGGATCAGTATTGCGGCAGTTTGTTGAGATTTGAGCTAGAGTCTAAACTCCCTAAAGGGGGTCATATAAGGGGATTGTGTAGGGGAGTAGTACAAAGGTTATTAAAGGGATACTAGGAGTTGAGACTATAGCTCATTGGGGTGTAATGTCATCCTGGCGTTTTTCCAAATGATCTGGCAACGGGTTGGGCACAACAATCCTACACCAAGCACATCAGCTACATGATGCGGAGTGGGCAGCAGCACAGAGGTCATTCGCATCCAGCATGGCAGAAAGTCCTCACCAGCCGAATGACTCTGGATTCTCAGACCCCCTTGTTCAGACTTCTGTATAGAAGCCTAAAAAAGGACCGATATTACGCCCTTAATTCTAATCCCTATAAAATCATAAAATCAGATACCCCCCCACCCTATTCTAATTAGGTAGGCCCCTGTACTATGGGATCAAAAGGGCGCAGGCGCTTACTTGGCCCTGGAACTAGGAAGCGGTCACAGACGCAGCAGGTCCACAAGTGAAGCGCTAGAGATCAAAATCCAGGGATTGTCCCTAAACCCTAAATTCCTAAACCCTAAATCCCTAAACCCGAAACCCATTGACCCTAAAACCTAAACCCGCCTCTATCAACCGCTGCAACCTCACGGGTTGCTTTGTCAGATCGCAAGGTGTTCACACACCTACTTTAGGCCCAAAAGTCTATGAACAGTACCTTGTTGGGCTTGTTTGGGGAAGGCTCTAGCTTTTCAGTCAAGGAGGATCACTAGTAATTGATCATGGGGCTCCATGCGCACGCTAACAGGCACATGCACGCACAAGATCTATCATCGTATGAGGTCGTATGTATCTGTGTGCACACGTATATGCGCAGACGCATACAACCGTGTATTGAGCATATCGTCTCAAGCTTGTAGAGTCTCTTGGCTCAGATCTTTCATCCGGCTGCGTGCTGATGGTAGCATGTACGGTGACAGGTTCACATGAAGGACACAACTATTAAGACAGCCAGCAAATTCCCCCTTTCAAGACACTTTTGTTCGGTATTGTGATGTCTTTTAAAGCCGAGCAATTTTCACCTTCAGTCTCTGGGAAGGGAACTCCGGGGCCCGGAGCATATCGGCTACCTTGGGACCCAGATGGCACGTTTGGGCTGTGTCGGGGCACCCAGCAGCGACGACGGCAAAGGCGAGAGTGGAACCCTCGCCCGCACATCCGTTGCCAACGTTGCTAACATCCACGCCACCAGCAGTGAAGGAATTTGGACAGGGTGCAGTGGGCCGAGTGCTGCTGTGAGGTTTGCGGGGCAAACTGTTGCAAGAAAGGTCGCGAAGGTCAACAACCTGAACGCAAAACTCGCGGAGGAAGCGAGACTGTTGCAGATTGTTGCAGGGCATCCGAACGTTGCGCAGATGTTCGGCGGTGTGGAAACGCATAGCTGTTGCTCATCTGCCTGCGCCTTTCGGGGCCTAACTTGCAGCAAGTCCTGGCCAAGCGCAAGAGGTTGCCGGCGGCGGCCATGTACACAGGACCCTGGCCCGGGGACTTCTCAGCGAGCTCGCGCACATGCATCGCTTTCTTGTAGCGCGCTGCGACATATGTGATCGCAACATTTGTTGCAGTGTTGATGCGCAAATGGAGTGGGAATTGTGCATCATAGATTTGGATGCTGCCAAGCAGCTCCCGAGCCCAGATTTCACATTAAAGCCGATACTATGCCAGCGGACGAGTCCTCGCGGACATCGCAAGCAAAGTGGATGTCACAAATCATATCGCTGATGTAGTCTCGCTCAACCAGAAATTGATACGGCCCGAGCTGGCGCGCCCCTCCGCGGTGGAGGCGGCTGAGGCAGCTGCTGCAGCTGCCCCGGGGCTGAGTTGTAGTCGAAGCGGCAACCAGCGGCGGCATCATTCGCGGGACGCCCATTTCAGACTGGAAGGGTCAGCGGGGTCAGGAAATAAGCACAGCACTTCGTAAGTTGGCAAACAAAGAATGGCTGGAAGCTGCTTGCGGTTGCTGTGGCAGGGAGGGGCTGAGTGGTGCTTTCAGGCATCACCGCCCATGACGTTGCACCGGCTTTTCAACAGAAGCGTTCAACCTGGAATTCCTGCAACAGGCTTCAAACTAGTAGACGGGAAGCCTTGGTAACCTTTCCACACATTTGGGTTTGGTAGGTCAGTGATTCTGATAACTGGGCTTTGCATGTTGCTCCTTTTGTACGCAGGGGCCCGCTACACGTTCAGGCCCGACATATGTCAATTTCTGACATCATCCCTATTTTGTAATTATCAAACACGGCCTCCAGAATCCCCTTAGATTCCCTAGGGCCAGGGTCCCTGATGGTACCCCATTTGGAGCATCCCAGCAACGCTGCCATGATCCCGCTGCCATGATCCCGAACGCCTTTATTTTGCGAATCTGGACCACAAACCCTAAACCCACTGGGCAGCAAAGGCCATCACAGGCCCCATCTTTCCACGGCTCTTGGATGCCAGACAATGCCTCGACCACCTGCGCCCGGATCTTGGTGTGTTGGATACATCTCGGACAGAGCTAGAGCTATAGGGCTGGACTTTTTCTAAGGTGAACTTATCATGGACACGCAGTGGACAAATAGAAGGACGGTATATTTTGAAGGGAGGCATCAAGTTTGCGCATGAGGCAGGTACTCAATGAGGGTGCCCCACGCAAATACATACCTCTGATCCATTTTGACAAACTCGTGAACTTTAAGTATATGCATAGTGGGCTTGTACACAGGGCTGTTTAAAGGCAGTTACAAGGCCTGAGCTCAAAGTTCGAGAATGTGCAGGGGTATGTGTTTAGGTCATTAATTTAGGCCAGGTGCAGCAATGATGATGAAGGGTTCCTCTGCTTGCATGGCCCTAACCCCAGCATGCTACGGCCTTTTGTGCTTGGAGTTATAGCTTTTCCCTCCTTGGAAGATTATGTTGTTGATGGACAAAATCCTCATGACCCTAGGTATGCTATACTCCCTGCATGGTTCAGGAGCACGGGCAATGCAGGATTTTTGTCCTTCAATTGCAGTAGCCATACTTGCAGCGCACTCCTACTTGTTCCTAATTCCTAGCCTATACACCCCAAACCCTAGACAACTCCATGTCGCGGATTCACTGTCACTTGTGCCACTATCAGGTACACCCCCATGGTTCCCCAATGGGACACACCGTCTAAGAACCTCAGGCTTCCGTTATGGGTTGAAGGTTTAAGGTTTCGTGTTTAGGGTTTAGGGCTTTTTCATTTGAAGGTGATTCCTAGGAATCTACCCTATAGCTCCACGTATTGCAATTTCGAGCTTTCAGGCTCCAGACACACTCTTGCATGTTCCACAACATTTGGACGACATAATCTCAAAAGGTCAATAGTCTACATGGCTTAGTGCGGTTCGGTAATGGAGTGTATATGATGCCATGCGAGGGTCCACTTCCTCTCCCCGAGGGCTTGTGTTTGAATTAGGGCTGCCGCACTTGTAGCTATTGCCATCGTACGCAAATGAGGATGCGATGTTCCTCGTGCTTTGTAAAACAGGCTTTTTCCATGTGAGAAGCCAAATGATTCAACATGGTGTCCGGTCGACACCAGCTTCAAAAATCATGGCCCGAATGGCCCGAATCAGGTGTTGTGTGGCCGTGCCTGGTCGAGCCCTCAGTCAGTAGAGATGTGCAACAATTTTTTTTGAAGAAGAATTTGGAGCAGCAAATGCCACCTCATATAAGACATCGCAGCTTGAAAAAATACCCAATGAACATTACCTTACACCCTCTGTAAGCTGTTGTAACCTTGGAGTATGCGCCATTCCTCTCTTCCGCACTGCATGTCTCATGCAGGATGCCCGTCTTCCGTCAGAGGCACCACTGTCGTGCAATGCCCAGCTTCAGGAAAGTTAGAGGCACCAAGTCGGGATATCTGCAAAGCGGCTTCCTTGTTTCCCCTTAATCTGTTTTCTGTTCATCGAAGTGCCGTATCTGTTCATTTGTTCAGTGCGAAATCGGGTTGAGTTCGACGCTGGTTGAGGAAAGTGATCCCTCTGCCTGCGCTCAGTCCAGAGCGTGCATCTGCCATTCATGTCCCCAGATTTGCTAATTGCCGGGGTCCTGCAGCTATGGGAGCAGGTCTTCTAAGCTCGAGCGGGGTGAAGATGGCTTAGCGGTTGAGAGTACTGGAATACAGCATCTTTGCAAGGATCAATGCTTTGTGAGAATTACCTTCCTCTGGGCAGACACGTTATTGTTATTTGTCAGGCCACAATGGCCACTACTGCCGCCATACCCCTCGCCCCACCCTCACCGCCACGGCCAAAGGCCGCAGCCGCCGCCAGAACCATTGCCACTGCCTAGATTTACATTGACTGCTGTGTGCAACACCTCGAGTCCTGACAGCCTTAATTCAGCACGCGTCGGATGGCTAATCTGGGCTACTAACTCACGAGGTGCCTGCGGCTCCTTGGTTTGCGGCCAATGCTCCTTCTGCACACATGGACGCAACAGCCGGCGCTGCTTGCACGCGGCTGAGCGGGTACAGTGCCCAATAGTTGGATACTGTGGATTTTGGTAATAGTATTTTGAGAACAGTTATCAGGTAAGAAAATTATACATATATATATATACATAAATAGATAAGACAGATAGATAGAAAGGTAGATATCTGTGACTAGGACCATTTAGGTAGGGCACACTTGGGCTTTTTTGGGAGGGCTATACGGGGACATGGGTGCGTAGCTGTTCGGACTCTTAGCTTGGAGTGCTGTGCCTCTTCTTTGTTTAAGGATGTTGCTTGTTTGGGTAGGTTTACAGGACCTGTCATTTGGGGCGTCT